TATATGAATTTTGTTCTCCATGCATGCGAGTATATGCGTGCTTTTATAACAGTAGGATTGTGCCTAAATGCTTGGAATGTACATTACGATAAACATAGACTAGAGAATGACATGCCTATAAATAAGACATTTGCACTTTTACAATATCACATAAGTTCTGAACTAATATAGAGCATTTCTAAGTAAGATTAACACGCAAATGGAGAATATAAAGCTTAACTAAAAAAATTTGATCACTATATCCTAGAGCTTTTCATAATTATAGCTTTACTTTTTTAAAAATATCATTGAGGTTTTAAGCGATCTTTTGTATTCTTTTTGTTTGAAAATGTTTTTATACGATCAGTGATATTTTGTTTTTCAAGTTCTTACAAACATACGGAGCCGGAGGTGTACGACTTAAAATACAAAGTCATTCAAACGTATTGAACAATACAGTCTGATGTATAAAAGATTAAAAACATAACAACTAAATCTTAAACAGTTCTGCATGTTAATTAACTAAGATTAGTACCTTTAAAAATAAAAGTAGAATGAGATAAGAACACATGGTCTACAAATTCTCAACATATGAAGCCAAAATTGAAGTCTTGAACTAATTTAATMCGAGCTATTAATAAAAAATGGAGTGAAATGTTTATGAAATTGAAAGGTTTTTACTCCAAAAAAGAAAAAAAAGACAAAACCACATCGCTTGCCTCCTCGTGACGGTGGATATGATCCAAAAATCAAAACAATCGTATTTTAGTAAAGCAGAAGTCATTCGACAATTATGATTATAACAAGTGCCACTTTTTTTCTTAAATACAATTAATTTGTTTTTGGTATTTTTTAAAAAACCTCCAAAATCCTGTTTCATTTTCTTTTAAAAAAAAATTATTTCCTTTTAATATTTTAAAAACAACTTCCTCCACTATTTTTTGTTTCGAATGACAAAGGGGCCGATTGGTAGCGACTGTGACTATAGACTTTTACTGTAAACTTTTATGGTAGACTTTTGGCTGTAGAGAAAACGACTGTAGAAACTGTGACTGTAACTTAAAAATTTAATAAAAGTCTAATTGGTAACTAAAATTGTAGACATTTTACTTTATCAATTATTAAAATTTAATAATTATAAAAATTATGAAAAGATAATAGATTTAACAGAATAAATAATAATGGTGTCGAATAGTTATTTTGTTAATAAATGTTGTGTAATTCTAGTTGAAA